TGTTCTTTTCCTTCTTCTCTGTTTTGATCTCTTTGTTTGAACTGTCTTCTGCTTTCGTTTCACCATTCTGATGGAAATCTAAGTGTTGTTTTGTGGAACAAGTCTCCCCCTTGATCCGTCCAGGCACTTGCATGCCCAATTTGTGACAGAATTCTCTCTCTGTTTTCATTTCTGCTGCTTGGAGACCTGATACCAATTTGTGAACAGTCGCATGTATGGTGCCATCATCACCAATGTACTGCAGTAAGTGGATGTGATGCATCATGGTCCTACATGCAGGGCAGGTGGTGTTCTCTTGCAAATACTTTACCAGGCAACCCCTACAGAATGTGTGCAGACACTTGGTCACCCTGGTTGCATCAATGAGGTGCCCACTACACAGGTGGCAGGTGATGTGGGCCTTAGTGTTCCACAGCTTAATCCTTCTGGTCAACTTCTTTGGCTTTTCCTCTGGATATCTGTCTGCTTGTTTTTCTTTCTGCCTTGGCATGGAGGCCCCACATCATCACTCTGACTCACTGGTTCTGCCTCACTCTGCACTCTGGTTCACTTCTGGCCCTTGCTGTTTTTCCGTTTTCTAGCACAGAAACAGTCACTTTTGAGGGATGGCCAGGAGTCCCTGCTACATTGTGAAGCTGTGGTCTTGGTCTTGGGGGTACAGGCAGGGGCACTCCAGGAGAAGGAAGGGGTGCCATTCCTTCCGGATCCAGCCCCAAGAGGACGAGACAAAACCTGTGAAGAATCTAAAATAAAGACATGGAAGTCCTCAGATAGTTTTAATGGTTCCTGATAGTTTTCCTCATAATCTAAATTTCTATCATTTTTCCTCTATCCAGCCTCCTTTTCAACTTCTCTTTAATTAGAGTCCCTGGTCCACCTTTATAATGACTCCTTCACACACAATCAATACCCTTTCTTACCCTCTCTCTATCCCTCACACTCTCAGTTGAACTCTTCTGGTAAAACTTGCTGCTGGTGAAGTCTCTGTGCCTACTCACCTCTCCACCCATGCCTGTACCCAAGCAGCTGAATGTGGCTTGAGAAAAACTCACAACCATCTTAACAGGTCTCACTTTAGATATATGATGTCACATCTGAAGTGGGCCTTGAGAGCTGCCTGGCAGTCCTGCCCCATTTCTCTCAGAATTTACTCGCCCACGACTATTTCACACTTTTTCTTCTCGCCTCAAACCACCAACATTTCTCTTTTCCTTTCCAGTTTTTTTTTTTTTTTGAGATGGAGTCTTACTCTGTCTCCCAGGCTGGAGTGCAGTGGCGCGATCTTGGCTCACTGCAAGCTCCGCCTCCCAGGTTCACGCCATTCTCCTGCCTCAGCCTCCAGGGTAGCCGGGACTACGGGCGGCCGCCACCTCACCCGGCTACTTTTTTTTATTTTTAGTAGAGACGGGGTTTCACCATGTTAGCCAGGATGGTCTCGATCTCCTAACCTCGTGATCCGCCTGTCTCGGCCTCCCAAAGTGCTGGGATTACAGGCATGAGCCACTGCGCCCGGCCCAGTTTTTTTATTTGACTGAGAATAACCTTCCTGCACTGTGCCTGTTTCTCTGCCTTTCCTTTTTCCTACCGTTGCAGGGAAGGTTGTATCCAAACAGGCCTGTGCACTGGATCCTGTCTTCTTTTAGTCATTATGAAGAAGCCAATCTGTCCACTGTGTGCCAGGCTTATTTTTAAGTACCTTACAAATTAACTAATGAAATCCTTACAACAGCCTTGTGAGGTAGGAATAATGTCAGTTTTACAGATGAGGAGGTTGAGGCACAGCAAAATTCAGCAACATGTGCAAAATCACACAGTCATGATAAATTTGTGCGGCTTCCGAGTCTATGCATGCAGCCCTTGTATAATACCATGTCTCCCAGGATAGTCTCCCACAGCTGCTTCTGTCTTTCCTGCCTCATTGATTGCCCCTCTCGATGAGATCTGTCACATTAACTTACAAGCAGGTTCTATTTTCTATAATCTATTTTAAGATCCTACTGTTGACCTTGTGTCTCTCTCCAGCTGCACCCTATTTTCTCTGTTCTCCTTTTAGCCAAATTTCTGGTAAGAATTTTTTTGTTTGCTGTGTCTTCTGTTCTAATCTTTTTTTGAACCACTCCAACCTGGCCTTTGTCTGTGTCATTCCTCAGAAACAACTTTTGTCAAGGTCACCCGTGCCCTCCCAATGCCAAGCCAGAGGGACAGTCAGTCTCTTACTCGGACCCTTGGAGATGCTTTCTTCATTTGCCTTCCCTGGCACCACAGACTTCTTGGATTTTCTCCCACCCCGGTGGTTACTCCTGTTTCCCGTGTGGATCTTCCTCTGCTGGTCACCCTCTAAGTGGTGGCTTTCCCCAGGAATGTGGTCTGGACCATTTCCCTTTCTGTCTATACTCACCTTCTTGATAATCTCAGCCAGTCTCAAGGCTTTGAATATTATTAATAAGTTGGCAATTCCCAAACTTTTATCTCTAGCTTTGAAACTTCTCTAGACTTCTAACATTTCCTTGGATGCCATAGGCCGTCACACAGTTGCCATATCTCAAATACAAATTCTTGCTTTGACTCTTTATCTTTTGGATCCCGTTTTCAGTCATGTGGGATCTTCCTTTTGCATCTCACATTGTAATTATCAGCAGGGTTCTACCTTGACATTACATCCCAGATCTGACTAGCTCTCTCCTCTTTCCAGATTGTACCCTAGTCCAAAGCACCATAATCTATTCCTGGTTTTTAAATGGACTCCTTATTAGCCTTCTTGCTTCATCTCTTGCTTTGATATAGCCTGTTCTCCATCCTGTTGCTAGAGTCATTCTTTAAAAATATAAGTCAGTACTACCTGTTCCCAAAAAACCTATTGAAATAAACAAAACACTCAAAAAAAAAAAAAAAAAAAAGTCAGAAAGTCAGATCTGGCCCCTGCCTGCTTCTTCCTACCTCATTTCCTGTATTTGCCCTGACCCTCCCAGCCCAGGCTTCTTTGCCATTCTTTGAACACAGCAAGGCCACAGCTGCCTAAGGATTAGGTCCTTCGCTATTTCCTCCACTGGGAATGCTCTTCCTGTAGATGTTGACCTAAATTAAACAAGAGAATTCATTATTTTGGTATGGCCTCTGTTCGAACTTTACCTTGTCAGGAAAGCTTTCTTTAATCTCCCTTTCTAAAATAGCAGTGCCTGGCATTTTCTATCTTCTTGCCAGTTTTAATGAGAGTGTAGAGTCACCTGTCTATTGGTATATCTGTTTGTTTGCTGTGAGTCTCGCTGAGTGGCATATGGGCTCCATAAAGGCAGAGGCATTATTGCTTTGTCCCTAGTGTCTGCAACAGCACCCATTGGGGGTTGATAAATATTTGTTGAATTTTTAGAATAGTGACAGATATTAATCCTACGAAGTTAAAGGACATATAAGAATAAAAAAAGATTGGCCGGGCGCAGTAGCTCAAGCCTGTAATTCCAACACTTTGGGAGGCCGAGACGGGCAGATCACGAGGTCAGGAGATCGAGACCATCCTGGCTAACACAGTGAAACCCCGTCTCTACTAAAAAATACAAAAACAAAAAAAACAAAAAAAACAAAACTAGCTGGGCAAGGTGGCGGGCGCCTGTAGTCCCAGCAGGCAGGAGAATGGCATAAACCCAGGAGGCAGAGCTTGCAGTGAGCTGACATCCAGCCACTGCACTCCAGCCTGGGCAACAGAGCGAGACTCCATCTCAAAAAAAAAAAAAAAAGAATAAAAAAAGATGAAAGGTTGATTTTTTTAAAATTTAGAAAACCTCTACATGATAGAGGAAAGGTAGTGTGTGTGTAGAAAGTTGTGTAGAAGCAGAAAAGGAGAGTCTCAGAATTCTTGGGTGGCTCCAGTTGTTCTTCCTTCCTTCTTTTCTTCACTATGGGGGAGAATTACCTGTTGCAGTAACTGCTGTGCCGAGAATCAAGGGGAGAGACCAAAGGGAAGGCCTTCTGTGAACTTTGTGGGCACTTACCAGGGGCTTCAGGGGTGCATCCATGGTGAGGATGGGGCCTTGAAGTGTTGCTAGGAGATTAACATTGGTGAAACAAAATGAAATTGGGGATCTTATGTTCCTTAAACCCACTCCACTTGAAGCATTGAAAATGACAACTTGTGGTGAAGTGCCGTGGCTCATACCTATAACACTAGTATTGTGGGAGGTAGAGGGAGGAGGATTGCTTGAGCCCTGGAATTTGAGACTACGGTGAACCATGATCATGCCACCGCACTCCAGCCTGGGTGACAGAGCAAGACTCCGTATCAAAAAAAAAAAAAAAAAAATCAAGAAAATGGCAAATTGTGAATGTTAACTCTTACAATGAAGATAATGGGATAATGGTAATTTTTAATGTGTTGCCTTTCTGACCACTCCTGGTGAATATCCCATTTCCCAATTCCTTTAGAGTTGGATTGAGAATGTTGATGCAATTATTTCCAGTTTCTTGGATTACTCTTCCTTAGAGAGAACAAGATCCAAGAGTGAATTTATGTGCTCCTTACTTAACATTGTTGTGAGTTCAACTCACTGATGTGGATGAATAGAAAAAACCATGCCAAAATAATGAATTGTCTCCTTTAACATTATGAGCTATAAAGGGATGGGAACAGCTTCTTTTAAGTTCTGTTAGTATCCCAGTGTGCTAACTGATAAACTTTTAATGATCTCCAGAAAACAGCAAGGGGATGTTCACTACCCTTGTAAATATAAATAACTTTAATAACAAATCATATTACTTGAACTTTGACTCCCGGTAAACATGACACCTGATACTGAGCTGACATAACTATGGTTTTGAAAGTTTAAACTCTAGGACATGTGGTGGGTGTATAATCCTACAAAGTTCACATTGTCTGACTTTGGCTATAAAGATGTGTTTCAAAAGGCCAAACAATTATTTTGTAGTGTTTGGATCATTTCCAAGGATTCATTTGTTTCAGCATAAACTCATTTTATGTTTATGCTTCCCTTTGATTTCTTTTTGCCTAGAGGGAGAAGAAGACGAGGATGAAGAAGATGAAGAAGATGAAGATGAAGAAGAGGAAGATGAGGAAGAAGATGAGGAAGATAAAGATGCAGACTCGCTGGATGAGGGCTTGGAAGGTGACACTGAGCTGCCAGGTTTCACTCTCCCTGGTATCACATCCCAGGAACCAGGCTTAGAGCAGGGAAACATGGACCTGTTGGAGGGAGCTACCTACCAGGTGCCAGATGCCCTCGAGTGGGAACAGCAGAATCAAGGCCTGGGTAAGAGTCATGTGTATTTCCCTTTTCCTCCCTTCTCCCCTCCTTTTATATTTCTAAGATGACAGCCTTCTTTCATTGCCATCTATTGTACAGTAAAATGGATTTTCTGTGTTTATGGGTAGTTTCTACATTTATGGGTGGTTAAGAATATAAGTATAAACTCATCGAAGAAATAACTGATAATTAAAAATTAAAAATTGTCAGTTTATTTCTTCGATGAGTTTATATTTATGCCCTTAAGTAGCCAGGCTCCAAACAGTCTCCAGCTGCCTATTATGAGCACGGTTGCCTGATTTTTGGAAGAAATTCAGTTTTTCCTTCCCAGTTGGGAGACAGTTGTAGGCTTTGGGAGGACATCTGCACAGGGAGGAGATATGTGTAACCAGGATGCTGGACAAGTAGCACCAGGGGAAAGAGTCAAAGAACAAATCCATTTTTTGTTCCACTCTGTCCTTTGGGAATTTGTTCCCTAGGGGAAGTTCTTCCCCTGCTTGTAGGCGAGCAGTTGCGCAGTCCCCATGATTTTTCTGTTCAGTCTTGTGGTTGCATTACCTTGTCAAACACAATTTCATTTCAGCAGCTAGGGTGGCCAGACCACTCCATGCTCACCCTCTCTTATTTGTGGCCTGTGCTTGTGGTAAGAGACTTGGAGGATGCAGGCTACTCCTCAGCTCTTCCTTCCACATCAGCAGGGAAGCTCCCCAGTCTGTCCTTTTCCTCTCGTCAGGGGGAGACACTCTTAAGCTCTCAGTGACTCCTTGAGGCCCTATTCCCTTGACCTGAGGTGAAGTAATCTCTTCTCCAAAGAAACTCTTCCTAAAATGCTCCTAGTCTTTCACAACTGGGCACACTGATTCCTTCAGTGTGGCAGATGTTAGGTTTAAGTGTCACAAAAACTGGTAAAAGTACTAGTTTTGGGGATATGTCATTGAAAACTTGGAAGTTGGTCTGGGCCTTTGCTCTGAATGTAATTCCGGGAGTTGCACTCTATAGATTGGCATATACGTTGTAGTTGAAATGTAGCTGGGATTTCCTGTGGAATATGCTACAGGAAGAAGATAAAAAGGGATGGGCTTCCAGTGGACAGACAACATTTCTTGAATTACTTTCTGGCCAAATTCAGCATGCACTGGGCAATGATTACTTTAAAAACATGTCACATGAAACTGATAAAAACTTATAAGGGTATCAAAATATTATAATATCAAAAGACCATAAAACAAACACAAAATAAGATGAACTCTGGTCTGTGAACAAGTGAATGAATATTTGGTCTGAAATCCTTCTGTTCTACATGAGCAGGATTGAAATGAATGAAATAAGATACAAAATACAAAGATAACTTATACAGAACAGGTTGAAAACAGACAAAAATCTACACATAAAGTGACTCCTTGGGTTGTGCACAACTTTATACTATGGAGGTATCATGTACAGTTAAACAGCCTTTCAGTATGGACGGGATGGATATTCAGACACTCTAGCACTTTATTGGAGAGAGGAGTGAGGGAGACAGGGTTGCCTTAGCACAGACTTAGGAACATTATATGGCATCTACCCTGGCTTGTGGTCAAAGAAATGAAGTTTCACCACTTATGAAGTGGACTTGCCATCTGTGAGTAATTATAAGTAATTGGAGGGTCTTAGAAAACTATAAGGAGGCTCTGAATCAAGGCTAAAATGATCATTTGGGCTGTAGTATGATCATGCTCCTCAATGCAAATTTACCACTGAATAGGAGTCAGATTTTTAAGGAATCAACTTTACTGAGGTATATATTATACACAATAAATTGCACCCACTGAAAGCGTACGATGTGATGAGTTTTGAGAGTTACATATACCCATGCAACCCCCATCACAATCATGCTGCAGAGCATTTCCATCATCCCACCACCAGTGATTCCTCATGCCCCTTTGCAGTCCATCCCTCCCTCAGCCCCCAACCCCAGGTAACCACTGGCCTTCTTTGGTCACTATAGATTCATTTGCATTTTCTAGAATTTTGTACAAATGACATCATATGGTATATACCATTTCGTGTCTGGCATAGATCACTTAGCATAATGATTTTGAGATTCAACTATGTTGTATGTATCAGTAGTTTGTTCCTTGTTATATGTAACATACACATGTGTACACACATGCATGCACTCACACACATGTCCACACACATATATAGATAGTTGACTAGTATTCAATTGTATGGATATGTTATGTTTTGCTCATCTGGTCACCTGTTGATGAACACCTGCGTTGTTCCCTGTTTTGGCTAATAGCAGTTAAATTTTAAGGCCTGTCAGGCTTGAGGCTTAGGACAAAAAGATCTGTTTTCCTCCTGTCCCGACTCCTGATTTCAGTCCCTTTGGACAACTAAAGTTTCTTTGTTTCTTTCCTTCTTCTTTCCTTCTTTCCTTCTTCTCTCCTTCTCTCCTTCTTTCCTTCCCTCCCTCCCTCCCTCCCTCCCTCCCTCCCTTCCTTTCTTCCTTCCTTCTTTTTTTGAGACGGAGTCTCACTCTGTCACCCAGGCTGGAGTGCAGTGGCACGATCTTGACTCACTGCAACTTCTGCCTCCTGGGTTCAAACAATTCTCTGCCTCAGCCTCCCGAGCAGCTGGGACTACAGGCACCCGCCACCACGCCCAGCTAAAATTTGTATTTTTAGTAGAGACAGGGTTTCACCATATTGTCCGTGCTAGTCCCAAACTCTTGACCCCAGGCGATCTGCCTGCCGCGGCCTCCCAAAGTGCTGGGATTACAAGCGTGACCCACCGTGCCCAGCCACAGCTTAAGTTTCTTAAATTAGTGATACCAGTTTAGTAATTTTTTATGCTTTTAAAAATGATTTCTTCAGATCCTGAGTTTTAAAAAATATATCAGACTTTTTCTTGTTATTTACTGTTTCTCTAGGTGTCTCTTAGTTTTTGCTGTTGCTTCTTTTTCTAATAAATTCATTTTGTCAACATATTTTCAGCATTGTGGGTGTCCTGGGAACCAAAGCAAGGAACAAGTATTTCAAACTGTTCTTCTTACTGTGAGAAGATTGTGTTTGAGGAGTGTCTAGGTCTAGAATTTTATTAGCCCACCAACCTTTTCTTGGAAGGACAGGAATATTTCCTAGTAATTCATAACAACTTCTGGATCAATATTAAATGGTACAGTTTACTAAATACTCTCAGGTCAGGTAAAATAGTAGAAACCCTTTCTTTCTTTGTGATGGATTTTATGGTAGGTGGAATAATGACTCCCTGAAGATGTCCGTGTCCTAATATCTGGAACCTGTGAATAAATTGCCCTACATGGAAAAAGAGACTTTACTGATTTGATTAAATTAAGGATCTTTAGGCTGGGCACAGTGGCTCACATCTGTAATCCCAGTGCTTTGAGAGGCTGAGGCAGAAGGATTGTTTGAGACCAGGAATTTGAGGACAGCCTGGGGCACATAGCAAGACCCCATCTCTACAAAAACTGCAAAAAGTTAGCTGAGGGTGGTATGTGCCTATAGTCCCAGCTACTCAGGAGGCTGAGGCTGGAGGATCACTTGAGCCAGGTGTATTAGTTCATTCTCATGCTGCTATGAAAAGATACCTGAGACTGGGTAATTTATAAAGGAAAGAGGTTTAATTGACTCAGAGTTCTGCAGGGCTGGGGAGGCCTCAGGAAATTTACAATCATGGCAGAAGGGGAAGCAAACATGTCCTTCTTCACATGGTAGCAGGAAGGAAAATTGCAGTGGGGGAAAAGTCCCCTATAAAATCATCAAATCTTGTGAGAACTCAGTCACTACTATGAGAACAAACAGCATGGGGAAACTGCCCACATAATCGAAGCACCTCCCACGAAGTCCGTCCCAGGACACATGGGGATTGTGGGAGGTCCAATTCAAGATGAAATTTGGGTTGAGGCACAGCCAGACCATATCACCAGGAGTTTAAGGCTGGAATAAGCCATGATTATGCCACTGTATTCCAGCCTGGGTGACAGAGTAAAACGCTATCTTTAAAAAAAAAAAAAAAAATTAAAGATCTTTAAATTGGAATGGGGAGGTTATCCTGGATTATTGGGCGGGCTCATTATAATTACAAAGGTTCTTGTAAGAGGGAAGTAGGAGGTTCAGAGTCAGAAAAGAAGATGTGATGATGGGAGCAGAGGTTGGAGTGATGTAGCCATTAGCCAAGGAATGCTGTCAGCCTCTAGAAGCTGGAAAAGGCAAGGAAACTGACTCTCCTCCAAGGCCTCTGGAAGTAATACAGCCCTGCCAATATCTTGGTTTTAGCTTAGTGAGACCCAGTTCAGACTTTTGACCTCCAGAACTGCAAAGTAATACGTTTGTGTTATCTGAAGCCACACGTTTGTGGTAATTTATTACAGCCTCTATAGGAAATGGATTCAGATTTCAATAGGTATTTAAGGAGCAGCAGCATTTTGAAAGCAAAGCCTCATGGCAGCTATGTTCAGAGTGTAAACATTGTGAAATTACATATACTTTTTCCTGTAATGAATCAATAAAAATGCAAACACTGAGATCCTTTGAAAAGTAATTCTATTTAATATGATAACACTTTAATTGGCTGTCCGCTTCATTCCTATTTTTAAATGGGGTTGTTTTATTTATAGGTTATCACCTCCATTTTTACAATATGAATGGTATTCCAAAGCAAATGCTAAAACCCATATAAATTTTTAAAAATGAACAGATTGAGGTGGGTAGTGAACTAAAAATAATGCAAACGCTTGGAATAGATTATAGTCTCACTTCCTGTGAAGTGCCAAGAGCAGGAACATAGATGACTTTCTAAGGCAAAGCAGTAGATTCAGGCCTCAAATTTTCTGTGCTTCTGTTTTCTGCACTGTTACATATGCATTGCCTCTGAAGCTTTGGAGGGAGAGAACTTTGTTTCTTTATCTTGCCTCTGGGAATTGTGACTGTGGAGTGAACTGTGTGTTGTTGGGATAGAGAGCATCAGGAGTGAAAGTTCCATGTTTATGAGGTGTATTGACA